CGGACTGGACTGCAGTTGCAAACTCGGCCTTACGACTGTTGTGCATGTAGAGAGTTTCGACTGCAGTTGAAACTTGAGACCGGACTGGACTTTAAAACGGCAGTTCGAAATGCATTTACAAACTACTTTCTTGACTGCGCCCTAGTTACCCCTTTTATTTATTATAGCAGGAAAAAAAAATGTTATTATAATCGATTATTTTATGTTAGTTTTAGAAGTGATATACATTCATATAAAAATTTGGTTAGAGAAGGTTCCACATGACATGTTGACATGTGTCTCTTAACATAGGTTGTTAGCCTTCTCAATTATGCTCATATGACAAATGTAAAAATATGACTTTGAACTTAAATAATTCGGTTGTCATTAATTTTGTATATTATAGTGAAAAAAAAATAACGTTGTTAAAATCGATTGTTTTATATTACTTGTATACAACAAAAAAAAATCCTAAATTAAATAATTATTCTATAGTGAAATTACATTCTGAATTTTTAATTTTCATTCCATCTTAAAAAATGTCATTTCAATTTTAAAATTTTTCGTCTTGAAAACTTTCATTCAAAGAATGGGGTATCCCTTCTTATTTCAACTGCATGCTAAAGATGGAATGAAAATCTGGATGAGTTCATGAAATGTTTTAATTGGACTGACATTCGAAGTAAGGAATTTCAGTCAGAAATATGTTAATCCAATATAAATTAGAAGATATTTGTTGTAGTAGAATGAAAGTTTAATTAAAATATTTCATAAACTCGTTCAGGTTTTCATTCCATTTTGAATAAATAAATGTAGTTGGAAGGGAAAACTCATATTTAGACGGTAACTTATCAAATAAAACTGATTGAACGAACATTCAAATGATAATTTCTAAATATAAAGGAATTTTTTTTAATGAAATGTTTTTTCAACTTTCATTTCTCGTGGGAATTTTTCTGTTGTAAGTCATATGTATCAACATCAAAATTTAGTTAGAGAAGGTTACACGTGACCATGTTTAAATGTGTCTGTAAATATAGGTTGTTTTGCTTAGTCATACTAGTCGAGGTACGTTATTATATTTAATAACCTTATGGTTACACTTAAGCGTTATTGAGTTAGGACATGTTGACAGCGTGAATATCGCTTAATAGGGTATAAGATTACCATTCTATATAGTTTTATGGGTTGCACAAGATGAAATTGTCACGGCGTGAAAAACCTTACCACATCAACTCTCATTTCAACATGCACCTCAACGATCGTAGTTGTGGTGAGGTGGAGAGAGGAAGAAAGTAAAATGTTTGTTCGTGTGAGCACACGCTATTGTGTCACATGATAGGTGACTGATCGATCATCGATCTTGA